GCCAGGTTTGGATCTCACTTCATTAAAGATGAGAGGAGCATGCCTTGCAGTATGTGGCAAGCTGGCATTAAACTCTTAAACTCAAGTGATCTTCCTGCCCAGCCACTCTAACCTGAAACCATGCTACCACTAAAGGCATCATCATTCTGGATGGCTTTTGTTCCCTTGTAAAATGATGTAAAATCATGTTACTATCATGTTTGTTCTGTAGGACTCAAGCTGTACATACAAGTCTTTAGATCAGCAAACAACATGGCATCTGGAATGTTCTCCTGAATGAAATCCTTGCCTGTGAGAGCCCACAAATGTTATCTAGAGAGAAGCACAACTGTTTACAGGTAAAACAAACTGCTTTCTTCCTCTACTTGGCTGCCAAGTCCTAATGTATGTTTTGTTTGGTGTTTTGGTTTTGGTTTTGGTTTTTTTGAGACAGAGTTTCTCTGTGTAGTTTTGGTGCCTGTCCTGGATCTCACTCTGTAGACCAGGCTGGCCTTGAACTCAGAGATCTGCCTGGCTCTGCCTCCTGAGTGCTGGGATTAAAGGCATGTGCCACTGCCACACAGCCACCTAACCTGTTTTAAACTTGTTTTAAGACATAAATTTTGTTTGGTCACATGAAAATGCCTGAAATAGTCAATGCTATAATTAGCTCAGGCTGAGTGTCATCTCCCAAAGTCACTACCGGTGACATCATCTTTTATTCTCTTTAATAAACCTTCCCTTCCTTTTGTCCCAAGACAGGCTTCTTCCTCACATGCCCCTTACAAAGAAAATTTCCCTGGCTGACTGCCATGAATTTCTCTGCCCATTTCCATTTTAAGTAATTTTTCTGTCTCAGTCTTTTCTGGAACAAAGGCAGAAGGCAAAACTTGCTGGTTTATTTTTAAAAGAAAACTTCACTTCAAGCTGTTATAAGCTAGGAAGCTTTGTGGAGTCACATGACCCCAGTTCACTGCATCTGCTGATAACAGCTCACCTCTGATTCCTGTGAAAACCTCCACCTCAGACTAGTTTCCCAGGGGCCACGGGAAGCAGCTTCCAACTGCACTGTTTGTCAAGGCTTATCCCACAGCAGGCACCCATTTCTACCCAGAGGGCCCCCAAGTTCTTTGGCTCTTACCAATTCTGTAAAAACAACAGCGCTGGCTTTTTCTTTAGGCAGCTAACAGTAATGAACTCAACAGGAAGTGGTGGGGTGTGCATGAGGTGGGGTGTCTTGCTACGGCCTAGTTATTTACAGAAGGAACATCTTTTTCTTTCCAATGCTAAAATGCTTCCCCAAAGGCAATAAACTAATAAAGTGAATCAATTCTAATCTTTCTCAAGCCATACAACAATTTAAGTTGTTCAAAACCAGAAGAGAGGTAGGGAGAGGAATAAAAGGAAGTATTAATGAAGTGCATATGAAGATGCCCCAATGACACACATTACTTGGTATGCTAACTTAAAATTTTTTTAAAAACTATAAGAGCTCGGAGTTAATATTAAATCAATACCTCAAATTTATATATATATTTTAATATATATATATTAAAATATATATATATTTTAAATCCTTTTAGAACCAGGTGGTAGTGTCACACACTTTTAATTCCAGCACTCCGGAGGCAGAGGCAGGTTTGAAGCCAACCCGGAGTTGGGTTCCAGGACAGCCATGGCTACACAGAGAACCCTGTCTCAAACAAACAAAAAATTTTTAGGATATCCCACTCTGACTTCTTAATAATCTATGTTCACCGGGCGGTGGTGGCGCATGCCTTTAATCCCAGCACTCAGGAGACAGAGCCAGGTGGATCTCTGTGAGTTCAAGGCCAGCCTGGTCTACAAAGTGACTTCCAGGAAAGGTGCAAAGCCATACAGAGAAACCCTGTCTCGAAAAACCAAAAAAAATAAAAATAAAAATAATAATAATAATAATAATCTATGTTCAATCTGCTTAAAAAAAGTTTCAAGTCACACAACTTAGGTCAGTCAAAGAGTCAAATAGTGTGGAGTCAAAGTAACCACAGAGAGTTAAGCTCTTTAGGTTAACCAAAAGGTTCTCTTTTACCTGAGTGGTGGCTCATAACCACAATCCAAGACAGAGGGGCAGGGCAGACAGACAGGGACACTGAGTAGGAAGATGGCTGTACATTTGAGATTTGAGGCTGGCCTGGGCTCTATACTGAGTTCTGAGCCTGAGCTACCAGAGCAAGAAAATGTCTCAAACAAAGAAGCTTTCTCTTAGCACTGGAGAATCGTCACTTTCTCCTTATTTGCCTTTACTCCAAAATCAATGCCAAAAAAATGGATTAGGACCAATATCAGATGTGCCATGAATTCCAGAACACTGTGATTCCTGTAGAGTCACAAAGCTTGGCGTAAACATGGCCCCCATCCCACAGCCAGCTGTCCTCAGTGTGCCTACTACCACAGACAACTGCATAGGGTCGGAAGAGCAAGAAGGATCACTGGGAGCCCAGGCTGCACTAACCCCTCCAGCCAAACTCAGATTCTCTCAAGACCAACTCAAGACCGAAAACGCGTATCAAAATCAGGAGGCTGGTTTCTAGTAGTCTCCTAAACTACCAATAAGATAGCTAAATTTAACAACGTAATATTCACAATACCAACAATTGAACGATAGACTGATTTCCCAATGGATGTGAATAAAGGCCATGTGGGCTTCAGATTCTCTGAGTTTAGCTATCCTATCTTCAAAAGATGACCTTTAATCCTAGCACTTGGGAGGCAGAGGCAGTCGTATCTCTGAGTTCAAGGCCAGCCTGGTCTACATAGTGAATTCCAGGACAGCCAGGGCTACATAGCAAGACCCTGACTCAAAAATCCAAAAAAACAAAAAAACAAAAAAAGAAAGATGATCCATTAGATGTATGTGGGGAAACAGCCAGCTCAGAACACTATTCTGTATAAAACTAACCTTTTTAAAAATTGGTTTCCTTTTTTAAGATTTACTTATGCATGTGAGTGCTCTATTTGCACGACAGAAGAGGACATCAGATCCAGTTACAGATGGTCATGAGCCACCATGTGGGTGCTGGGAATTGAACTCAGGACCTCTGCAAGAGCAGTCAGTGCTCTTAACTGGCAAGACATCTCTCCAGCCCCTAAAACTAACTTCTTAAAATAAGTTTCTTGGTTTTGTTTTTAATGCTAGGAGTATTGTGAGTTCAAGGCCAACCTGGTTACATAGAGAAATCTTATCTTTAAATCTCTTGGGCTTAACCCAAGGATTCTACATTACACAGTGCCGTCCTTGGGCTTCCTACGCTGATCCTAAGTAGGTTAAATATCTTGGATATTCATCCAAGATTACCTTGGATATGACACCTTATGTGTGGCCACCCAAGCAACAAGCTGTCATGATTCACTGCCACCTTACCAGGTTTTCGTACTTGGCTATGAAATTCTTAGTGACTGTACATATAAAGGAACCAAACAGGATCTTGGGAAGAAACAAGTTACTAGGCAAACTGCTCAGTAGAACCACACAGATTGTATGCCGGGCTAGGCCACCATAATGACGGCTAAGGGCACTCACAGCTAAAGCCAAACTGAAAAACCAGTCACGAAACAAAGGGAAGAAAAAGCCACTGCTCAAGGGCCTCTTGTGTGCAGGAAGGACAGACAGCACTTCTCTTCCGTGCAGACGCACAGACAGATGGCCATTTCTCCGCCCCTGTCTCCCCGATTTGGCCCACCCCACCTCAGCCAACTTTACCCTTAGAAGTACACTTTCACTTTTTGAAAAATGTTCCAGCCCAGAGGCGGTGGCCCACGCCTTTAATCCCAGCAGTCAGGAGGCAGAGGCAGACACGCTTCTGTCAGTTCGAGGCCAGCCTGGTCTACAGAGCTACTTCCTGGACAGCCAGCGCTACGCAGAGAAACCCTTTCTCCAAAACAAAACAAAACAGAATCTTCCTTCAGATTCTTTAACGTATCCACACTCCAGCTCCGCAAAGGGATCCTGACCCAGGGTTCTGGAACAGCAGTGGGGGGGGGGGCTAAGTCATAAGAAAGAACAGTTCTGTCCTCACCACCCACATCCACGCAGATCTGCCTAGAACCCCAGTTCCCATTTTTCCTTCCCCACAACACCCACATGTTTCTGCGAGCAACCAGATGAGGGGCCCCGGTGGCATGGAAACGAGAGGGGGAGAAGAGGGTGGGGTGACGATGAGAATGGATGGATAGGAACCTGGGTGTGGGGGCAGGGTTGGCACCAACTTGGCCTTGAGGTCCAGAAGGCAGTCTTGAGATTTGTCCTTGTGCGCTAAGGAAGTGGGAGCAAGAAGGGGCTTTCTGCTCATAAAGAGAGCCAAGGGTGCCCACTTGCATCCACGACGAGCTTTTCTCGCGGCCTGGCACCCACTTGAGGAGCCCTACGCTCAACACGGTGAGAGTGTCCTTCCCATCTGTCAGTCAAGGGACACTACCTCCCAACACCAGGGGTCCCGCTTAGCTCCAGCCGCGCCCCCCCAAGCCTGACAAGCTCCAGAGGACTGCCCGAGAGGCCCTGGGGCCCCGGCCCGTCCCCCGCGGCGCGGGGCGCTCTCCAGGCCCTCCCGGATCCTCCCAGCCCGCGCGGACGGCGCACGCAATCGTACCCGGAGCTCGCCCTCCGTGCGGTGCAGTCCCAGGCGCCGCAGCCCCACCGCCAGGTCGTTGACACAGAGGCCGCCGTCGCGGTTGACGTCGAGGGTCTGGAAGAGGCTCCACAGGCGCAGCCGGTGGTCCGGGCCGCCGCAGACGGCGCCGCCGCACGGATCCCCTACAGAAGCCGGCGACGAGGCGGGCGACGAGGTGGCGGCGGCGGCGTCCGGCGGCGGGGAGGCCACGCAGCGGCACAACACACTGCTCACCATCGGGGGCGAGGCGGGGGCGCCGGACGCGGGGCTGAGGGCGGCAGGCAGAAACCGGAGCGCGGAAGCACGCCGGCTTTCCTCAGACGGCGAGCGCGGGCTCCGAGAAGCCGGCAGGCTGGAGGGAGGGGAGGGGCCGCTTCCGGGAACCCCGCCCCGCCGCGCGCCGCGGCTCTGGCCGCGCCCCCTGGCCCACCGCCGGCCAATCGCAGGCCGGGACGGCGGCTCCGGGATCAATGAGGGGGCGTGGCCACCACGCTGGCTCTGAGTCGATTCAAACTGAGAGAGGCGGGGATTAGCCGAAGCGGGGTGATACGCAAGCAGAAGGTCCCGTGCCCAGTTCCCATTCAGAAGCCCTGTCTAGACTGCGGGATGATGAGGCTGGGGGGAGCGGTCGTGTATGGAGAGAGATCGTACCTATCCGTGGAAATGAGATTTGTATGAGAGCAACTGTGGACTGAAGGTAGAAGACACTTAGCACCACTGAATAAAATAAAAAGTTAATGGGTGGACGACTCAAGACCGAAAACATGAATCAAAATCAGGAGGCTGGTTTCTAGTAGTCTCCTAAACTGCCAATAAAATAGCTGAATTTAACAACGTAATAGTCGCAATACAAACAATTGAACGACAGACTGACTTCCCAATGGAAGTGAATAAAGGCCATGTGGGCGGACGCCCTGAAGCGACAGACATGCCTTTAGACCAATGACCAAGCCAGTTCTAGCAAATAGGTGTGTCCTTGGGAGAAATGGCAGGCCTGGAGAGCCAGTGATCGGCGAGGCATTTGAGCCACGCCGACCTGGAGGGCGGGGCTTCCCAGGCATGGTCGCGGGGCGGGAAGAAGGGAAGTGGGCGGACCTCCGCACACCCCAGCGGAAGAGGCAGATTCAGGAAGCCATTACGCAGCTGGCTGGCGGCGGTCGGGCCGGTCAGGGCTGGGCCCTACGCACTTTGCGTAGCGAGGGGGATTACTTAAGGCCTGGTGCTTGGCCTAGAGCAAGCCTTGCCTGTCCCCCTTTTTTTGGGGGGGCGGGGAGAGGCGAGGCTGAAAAAGAAGAGAAGGGTAATTGGGGTTGTTAAGGACATTATAATTTCTTTAAAAAGAGAAAAGGGGAGGCCATGGCTGTCCCAGCCAAGAAGAGGAAGATGAACTTTTCAGAGCGGGAGGTGGAGATCATCGTGGAAGAGCTAGAGCTGAAGAAGCACCTGCTGGTGAACCACTTCAATGCTGGGGTCCCTCTGGCTGCCAAGAGTGCAGCCTGGCATGGCATCCTGAGAAGAGTCAACGCTGTGGCCACCTGCCGAAGGGAGCTGCCCGAAGTCAAGAAGAAGTGGTCTGACCTCAAGACCGAGGTCCGTCGCAAGGTTGCCCAAGTCCGAGCTGCTGTCGAAGGTGGCGAGGCCCCAGGGCCCAAGGAAGAGGATGGGGCTGGTGGACCTGGGCCAGGCGGTGGCAGTGCCACGGCCATAGCTCCTGTACTGCTGACCCCTATGCAACAGCGCATCTGTAACTTGCTGGGTGAGGCCACCATCATCAGCCTGCCCAGTACCACTGAGATCCATCCCGTGGCCCTCGGACCCACAGCCACGGCAGCTGCAGCCACGGTCACCCTGACACAGAGTGAGTGACCTCTCCTGCTCAGTTCAGCTGCAGTAATGGGAAGGGCCAGCTAGTGCTGGGGCAGCCTGGGGCACATTGGCTGCCAAGGGTCAAAAGTCAGATGGTGATCTTGAAAGACCATGAGGCCTTCCAAGAACTCTCCAGACAGAGGTGATCTTGTTCTTTTGGGGACTTCCTCAGCATGTGGATAGCTGGTTACCCATGACTTCCGCTTGCTGACCTGACCTATGTAGTCTTGAAGACAGAGACTGTCTGTAGCCCCACAGGACTTAGGAGCTGCTGTATCAGTAGGCAGCCAGGATATACTTGTTGAATATCTAACTAGGAATAATATTGCCCAAGTGAGACATCCATTCTGCACAAAAATATTCTGTATTTTCAATACACAAACATTCACCAGGCACTTCTCAGGATCTTCATGATTCTTATCTGTTCGTCTATCCATCAAGAAATTTATGCTGGGCACAAGAAATACCAAAGTATTTAACATTCCCTGAAGGCTGGGGAGATACCTCAATGGTAGAGTACTTGCTTACCACTGTGAAAATTAAATATATAAGCCAATTATATTCTACTAGGACAGATGAGGTATAATGTGTGTGTGTATGAATATCTTTACCATGAGAAAACCCAAGGACTCACAAGAGGAGAGGGATTTCGTGGTGTGAGGGGAACATACAGTTGATGGCATTCCAAGGTAGGGGAAATAGGAGATGGAGATACACACTCATAATCCTAGCATTCAAGAGATGGATCCCTAGGGCCCAATAGCCAGCCAGCCTATTTGGAGAGGTCCAGACCAGTGAAGGGACTCCGTCTCAGGAAAGAAAAAAGAAAGGATGTGGGCAGCACCTGAGGAATGACACCTGAGGTTGTCTTCTGATCACTCTCCATATGTGCACAAATACACATGTGTGTACACATGTGTGTACCTACATATTATGAACAAATAGACACAGTCTTTAAAAAGAGAAACAAGATTGACACCTCCCACATACATAAAGGCCCAAATACCTAACGTCCCTTCTAAGGTTCTAGTCAATGAGTGATAACAGGGCTGACTTTGGTTAGGTTTTGTGTTCGAGATAAGGATGTGTGCCCACAACTGTGAACTCTGCTCAGTCATGATAGCTTTGAACTGTATCCACCAGATTCTCAATGATGTGTGGGTGTGTGGGTGTATGCTCTCCCCTGCGTCTTTCTCTAGTCCGTATGAGGTGGGAAGAGGAAGAAAAATGCTGGTCCAAGTCAGGTACTGTTCTGGAGCAGCATCTTCTAGAATGTTTATGGTTTTGTTTTTGTTTGGTTTTGGGGTTTTTTTTGGGGGGGGCGGGGAGATGTTAGTTTTGTTTTGTTTTTTGAGTCAGGGTTTCTCCGTGTAGCCCTGACTGTCCTGGAATGCACTCTGTAGACTAGGCTGACTTCTAACTAAGAAATTCACCTGCCTCTGCCTTCTGAGTGCTGGGATTAAAGGTGTGTGCCACCACCACCTGGTTGGATGTTTAGTTATCTTAAGAACCAAAGTGATTAAAGAGACAAGGAAGCATTTTCTGGACATGTGAGCTGCAGTGGCCCTTCCTTCTTTAACTGGCCACACAGAAGGGATAGACTTAGCTCAAAGCAGCCCAAAGAAGTGGTTCTATTTCATCATTTCTGAAATTGAAGACGCGTCCATCTCTTGTCATTTGGAGGATTTCTTGAGCTAATGAGTACAGAGTGGTACATGAGTATTCTAAGATTTTGCTGGCATTATTGTTGGCATCTCTGCATTTGTCAGATCTGGGGGCTTCTCACTGGCTACCAATAGAGCAAAATCCTGAAACCTGGTTGGAGAAGTATCTCGATGATAGAGCACATGCTTAGCATATAATAGTCCTGGGTTCCATCCCAGCCTTGAGGAACAAAGAGCTGAACCTCTCAGAGACTGTTTTTCTGTCTCTACAGCCAGGGAGGCCTGAATTCCCCTTTGCCTCCCTGCTGCACAGGGTTTAATTGCCCCTACCAGTGTTGCAGGGCCAGCTCCGTTCCTTCCGAAAGATGACGTTCTTCCGCCTTTGTTCTTTCTTCTCGGCAGTCCCCACCGAGACCACCTATCACACACTGGAGGAGGGCGTGGTGGAGTACTGCACAGCCGAGGCTCCTCAGGAGGAGCCCCTGCCCACCGAGGCGCCTGTGGAGATGCTGGCCCAGCACACAGACACGTCCGTCAAACCGCAGGCACTTAAGAGCCGCATTGCCCTCAATTCGGCCAAGCTGATCCAGGAGCAGCGGGTCACCAACCTCCACATAAAGGAAATCGCCCAGCACCTGGAGCAGCAGAATGACCTGCTACAGATGATCCGGCGTTCCCAGGAGGTGCAGGCCTGTGCCCAGGAGCGGCAGGCCCAGGCCATGGAGGGCACCCAGGCAGCCCTGAGTGTCCTCATCCAGGTCCTCCGGCCCATGATTAAAGATTTCCGACGCTACCTGCAGAGTAACACACCCACCCCAGCCCCGGCCCCTGACCCTGGACAGGTGGCCCAGAATGGGCAGCCGGACAGCATCATCCAGTGAGGTCAGGGGTCAAACCAGTGCTCTGCGGTGATTGAGGGAAACTTCTGTGGAATTGTAAGTGGTTTCTGTGAGTGGCTTTGAGGGGGCCATGTGGATAGCTCCCTCTCGGACAGATATTTGGGGCTTATTAGTCTGAGAGTAATGAAGGAGACTGACTGGGAAAAGGAAATCACTGGGCTCCTGGGGCCCAGTCTCTTTAGTTCAACCTCCGGAACTGCCTTGTTGAAATCTGGAAGATCTAGCTGGGAGTGTGTCTGGTGATGGGACAAATGTTGTCGTGATCTAAGGCTTGAGACATCCCCCGACTCAGTCTAGGACAACTGTAAAGACAGACTGGTTCTCACTGGATCTTCCATGGGCTGCCCCACCTCAGGTGTGCCACCTTTGTTAGTGCCATCCTGCCAGTGGTGCTGTCCAGAAATGCAATAACACCCACGTGAGAATGTCTCCCGGCGCCACTGGGAGGGCCTAGCCCTTTCATCCTCCTCGCACTGTGCCTCCGTTCTCAGGGGACTCGCCTTCCTGCTGTGTGCCACACCCATCCAGGCACAGCCCAGCTCTTGGAAATGCCCTGAGATGCATGCAGCCAGCTTGGCTCAGGAGTGCTGTGTGGTGGGACTGGGTTGGCCATCTCTAGTCTTCCATGACCCCCCGGGCGGCTGTTCCGTAGCTTGCCCCACCCCCGACTGTGACACAGTGGGCTTCAGGTGCTGTCAGGGTTAGGAGGTAAACACTGTGGAGTCCTGTTTCCTGCTGCAGTGCACTCGAGGTCAACCTCTAACTTTTACTCTGTTTTCTAGCCAGTCATATTTATTCTACAGCTGAACCCTTTCTGGGAGGGCTGCAGGCTCTGCGGCCCCCCTTCTTTCCTCTCTGCTGGACCACACATCTGAAACACAGGGCACATTAGAGCCCTGCTCAGCGTCCCACCTAGTCCTCCCTCTCGTGCTCCTTACTCAGTGCCTGGTGTGCTGCAGATGCCCCACCCCCACCGGCTAAGTGAATCCAAAGCAAGGACTGTCCTTGAATGTAAGAGGCGGGACGAGTGAAGCAAAGTGTGCCCTTCTGTGCTCCAATGGGGCACAGCCTCAGAAGGCTGAAGGACGTGTCTGATTTCCACCTTCTCTGAGGCACTTACAAAAGCCTCGGCCAGGCGGGGTTTGTGGGTACCACTCTCAGTCTCCTCACATCACCATCGCGTTTGCCATTTTGCACCATAACTGGGCCTCTCGTGACCAGTGGCTACAGCAAAGTTCCAGATCTTAGCCAAGCTGCCCTTCCAGGCATATGCGTACACAGATGCTTAGCGCCATTCTGTGGTCCAAGGGAGGCCCCCTGGAGACAGGAGGTGGCTACCGGCTGTCCCGTTCTCCAAGGAGGCATGTGTAGTGCCAGCTAGGGAGAGGGGAGTGAGGTGGGGCCCCTTCCCCCAAGTGGAGCCTCTTGGCTCCAGCAGGGTTCCTGCGGGAGCTTCCAAAAGATGTGTGACCCAGTTTGGTTCTACTCTGGGGTTGGAAATCTGAGCCAATGTTGTATCTGTTCCGTTTGTGTATAAAAAGGAAGCCTAGGTTACTGAAGCTAACTTGTTCTTTCCGGGTCACAACTTTAAATTAAAGAAATATCACTTTTTTATACACACTTCTCTGTGTCTTTATTGATCACACACAGAAATAAACTATGGCCTCCAGGCTAAATCTGGTCCACCACCTATTTTTTGTTTGTTTTGTTTTGTTTTTGTGTTTTTGAGACAGTCTCACTATGTCTCCCTGGCTGGCCTTGTGATGGCTAAAGTTATGTTTTAAGTTTAAATTACTGTGCTTAAGAGATCTATAAAACAGAAATGTCTCTAACCTGTACGCCCCACTTGCTTAAGGACAGATGACTTCCTGGAATGCTGGGGACTGTTGTTCATTAGGATAACAAACCACATGTTTTCTGCTTCTATAAACAAGTTTGGTTGCCCCAACAGTACAGAATGTGTTCGCTCACACCACACATAGGTGGGAGAGACATGAAGACAGGAAGTATATCAGGATGTACGCTTGCCCCTGATTGGATAAAGGTGCGAAATATGTAGGCTTGTGGGTTGTGTGCAGGGCGTTTATCCACCAACCCCACAGTCCCCCCGAGTTTTCTTGAGTGCGAGCAGCAGGAAATATTAAATAGAAGGATTTAGATTGTGGAGATGAACAGATAGAAAATAAAAGATGGCCTGGAAAGGGCCTGGAACCTATTCCAACCAACCCCGACTGTCTCTGCCCCAGGATATTTATAGAGATGCCAAGGGGTGGAGCAAAAGACCTCCTCCCCCAGCACAGCCAAGTGCAGACCATCTCAGACACCTGCACTCACTCCCCTGGGCCTAATCATCCTCTCTATGCAGATCTGCTGAGTAAAGCCACGAGGAACCTGAAAACGGGCTCCCACACACACACACCCCCACCCTGGGTGGAAGCTCAGAGGATCCTGAGCAAATCCCAGATGTTGATCATTGAGCTGTTTTGAGCTGTTTGCACGGTCAGACTTTGGTTTTGCCTTGTCCAGACTATGGCTGGGTACTGCTGCTTCCCTCTTGAAGTGAAAAAGGGCATTTTAAAAAGGGCACTTTATTTTTGATATTGCAGGAACCCACAGTTTAGAAATTTTCGAATTTCTTTAAAAGGAAATCTTGGAGTTTTTTTGGGGTTTTTTTTGTTTGTTTGTTTTTTTAATTAAATTGGATGGGAGGTTGTGGTGCATGCCTTTAATCCCAGCATTTAGGAGGCAGAGGCAGGGGGATATCTGTGAGTTCCAGGCCAGCCAGGTCTACAGAGTGAGTTCCAGGACAACCAGAGCTGCATAGAGAAACTCTGTCTCAAAAAATAAACAAACAAAAAATAATAAAAATAAATAAATAAAAGACTGAAAAGTTGGGGCCATAGCTATGAACACCAGAAACTGGAATATTCCTATCTTATGATGCTTCAAGACAATGACCTCAGCAGTCTGGCAAAGGCTTATAGAAAGTCCCTCCTTACCTAAGCTCTGTTCAGGCTAACAGAGACTGACTTAAGCAGCATTTCTAACCTCCTTCTCTAACTTTGTTAAACTTTAGCTATTTTGATAAACTGAGTCATTAAAGAAACTGTGATTAATTTTTGTAATGGTATACTATGAAAGGACTAGGAAAATAAAGTTTCTAGTCTCCCCTGGACTGTATATATGATTTAAAGTTTTATTTTGGCCGGGCAATGGTGGTGCACACCTTTAATACCAACATTCGGGAGGCAGAGGCAGGCGGATCTCTGTGAGTTTGAGGCTAGCCTGGGCTACAGAGTGAGTTCCAGGACAGGCTTCAATGCTACACAGAGAAACCCTGTCTCGAAAAACCAAAATAAATAAATAAAGTTTTATTTTGATACTGAACAAGCTTCAATTCAAAAATTGTTATTTTTTTTTAAGACTAAACAGGAACAAAAATGCAAATTCTAATCTTATAAAAGCTACAAACTTAATAGTAAACTGTTAAAGATTATTAAGATATACAAATCCATTGTCAGTCACCTTATAAATGATCAAATTCTTTAATGTGTTCAGAACTATGCTGTGGGATGATCCTCCTGTATGCTGTGAATATGTATTATTCCCATTGGTTGATAATAAAGCTGTCTGGCCTATGGCAAGGCAGGATAAGGTTAGGCAGAACAATCACACTGAGGATTCGGATGAAGAGGGGCAGAGTCGAGGGAGACTTTAACCAGCTGCCTAAGAAACAAGATGCCAGAGGACCAGTAAAGTTTCCCCACCTGCCTATTCCTGAGGGTGGGATCTCTCTCTCTCTCTCTCTCTCTCTCTCTCTCTCTCTCTCTCTCTCTCTCTCTCTCTCTCTCCTCTGGTCTTAGGACTCCTCCCCTCCCCCAACTACCAGAACCATGGGCCTGGAAATTCCAAATGTAATATTTCTTTAAGTTCCTAAACTTTAACTTTTGTCCTAGATGTATGTATATGTATGTCCTAGCAGATTTCTACTAGGCTGACAGACACCATCAAGGAATCAGTTGCTGACTACTGACTACAAACTGCTCCAAACAGCTGTGAGCCCTGGACTTGTTGAAAAGCTGATGTAAACTGATCCAGCAGATATGATTGCTCCCATTCTCTTCAGCTGGGTCAGTGAACCAGATGCTTCTGATGAATGCCCCATTGCCTGAATCCCCACCTGGCCTTTGGCTAACATTCCAGCCTTCCTGGGCCCTGACAACAGCATCCTAATTTCAGCAGGAAGTAGTTACAGAGGAGACGATGTCACCTTATTCTCAACACAGGGCTGGAAGAGTAGGTCAAAAGGAGACTCCCGGGCACAGTACCTGTTGGCATACCAGGAAAGGTATCTGTTAAAACCAAGTAGACCAAGATTCATCAACAGGCAGATTCTTTAGCTGAAGTAGTTCTACAATATGATAGGGCACTCAACCTGCTCTATGTAGAACAAGGAGGTTATTGTGTGGCTTTAAGAGAAAATTGTTGTTTCTATACAAACCATTTGGGAATCATTAGAGATAATCTAGCTACACTCAAAACAAAAATATTGCAAAAAAAGGGGACCTGAGATGAAATAAAAAACTGGTCCCCATTCTCATTTTTGGATTCCTCCTAGACAGTAACTCTGACGTCAGCCATCGCTGTTTCTTTGACCCTGCTGTTTCTGCTAATTACTATTGGCCCTTGATTCACTGATACCTTAACTAGATACATAAATTACCATCTGGGGGCCATTGATCTGATGGCTATTAGATTCCAGGCAGGTGGATCTCTGTGAATTCAAGGCCAGCCTGGTCTACAGAGCTAGTTCTAGGACAGCCAAGGATACATAAAGAAACCCAATCTCAAAAAAACAAGAAAGAGGGGCTGGAGAGATGGCTCAGTGGTTGAGAACACTGACTGTTCTTCCAGATGACCTGGGTCCAATTCCCAGCACCCACATGGCAGCTAACAACTGTCTGTAACTCCAAGATCTGACACCTTCACACATACATGCAGGCAAAACACCAATGCACACAAAATAAAATAAATAATTAAAAAAAAGAGAGACACAGAGGGAGGAAGAGAGAGATATATATTTAAAACAAAACAAACACTTGCCCAAGGACACAAAACTTCCTGGAATGCTGGGGACTGTTGTTCATGTAAGATAATAAGCTACACATTTTTTGCTTCTGTAAACAAGCTTGGTTGCCCCAACTGCACAGGATCACATATAGGTGGGAAGTACATAGGCAGGAAGTAAGTACATCAGGATGTATGCTTGCCCCTGATTGGACAAAGGTGGGAAGGAAGTACATAGCCTTGAGGGTTGTGCCTTTATAAGTCCCTGTCTAATGTAATTTGATGCCATACTCAGGGAATCCTGGGTATGGACCTGGCCAGTGTCCATTGTCCTGACCAGTATTCAATAAAGCTTGCTTCAAATTTAGCTTAAAAATTGTGGTAGTGGTCTTATTCTCACCCAGTGGGATTAACAGCCTGGAACTGACTATGCAGACTAGGCTGCCTTGGAACTCACAGAGACCTACCCACCCCTCCCTCTTGAGAGCTGGGATTAAAAGTGTGAACCACCACGCCTGGCCTGCCACCTATTTTTGTAAATAAAATTTTACTGGAACAGAGGCATTAAATACGTTCATTTAAGAAACTAGCTGAATTATACTGTGATACCAGAGTTGAGTAGCTGTAACCAGAAACAGCTGAACCACAAAGCCTGAAGTATATACCTGGATTAGTGTGTGGCTTCTGATGTGGGGGAAATTATCCAGGTCTTACCCAGAACCTAGAATAGACTCCAGGAGAGAAAGTGCTCGGGCTGTGTGGTGTGGCAGAAACATACCCTGCTTTCAGAGTGATCCTCGTGATTTCCTGATAGCTGAGAACTTGGGCTCCCAGACCTGCACTCTGGATTCCAGATCCTGCTCCAGAGTGGGCTGCCTCTTGGGAGTCTCTTCCCAACAGGTGAGGTGGAATAAGACTGGTCTTTAAGAGGATCTGGGCTTCCCAGGGTAGGCTCCTGTTCCTACTTGTCACTATTTAAAGATGAATACAGCTGACAGTCTCACTTTATAAGCTATGGTCACTCAGTCCTTTCAGCAGTGGAAGGAAGTAGGTGTTGTCCTGTCAAGTTCCAGGACACCCAGTATAAGAATGATAAGCGGCGCTGGTTACCAGCACTGGTTACCGGTGCTGGTTACTGAGTGGAAAGGTCACAGCCACGACAAAACCCAGTATCAGTATCAGAGCTTTATTAGGAGGAAGAGGGGTGGTGGGAGACAAGAGAACCAGGCCTGGGGAAGGAGCACGTGCAGAGAGCAGAGAGAAAGATGGTCGGGGGAAGAGAGAACAGAACAGAGAGGGTGGGCTCTTTAAGGCGTAGGTGGGTTTACAGAGCTATGCCACATAGATTACGTGATCACGCTGTGCACAGATTACAGATTACATGGGATGTAAGGTCCTAAAAGGACTAAGCATCTTGCCTGGCTACTGGACAGTGCATGTGCGGTCATGTAGCTGGGGGAGTGGCTAGGAATTCTATGAAGGGTTTCTCTGTGTAGCTTTGGAGCCTGTTCTGGAACTCGCTTTATAGACCAGACTGGCCTCAAACTCTCAGAGATCCACCTGCCTCTGCCTCCCAAGTGCTGAGATAAAAGCTGTGTGCACCACTACCACCCAGCTTGTTTGAT